AATCCCCTTTCAGCTATCAGAAAGCAGCTATCAAATCCCCACTCATTTTTCTCTTCTGCAGACTAAATAATCCCAGTTCCCTCAGCCTCTCCCCATAAGTCATGTGCTCCAGCCCCCTAATCATTTTTGTTGCCCTCCACTGGACTTTTTCCAATTTTTCCACATCCATCTTGCAGTGTGGGGTCCCAAACTCGACACAGTAGTCCAGATGAGGCCTCACCAATGTCGAATAGAGGGGAATGATCACGTTCCTCGATCTGCTGGCAATGCTCCTACTTATACAGCCCAAAATGACTTTAGCCATCTTGGCAGCAAGGGCACACTGTTGACTCATATCCAGCTTCTCGTCCACTGTCACCCCTCGGTCCTTTTCTGCAGAACTGCTGCCTAGCCATTCGGTCCCTAGTCTGTAGTGGTGCATGGGATTCTTCCATCCTCAGTGCAGAACTCTTCACTTGTCCTTGTTGAACTTCATCAGCTTTCTTTTGGCTCAATCCTCTAATTTGTCTAGGTCCCTCTGTATCCTATCCCTACCCTCCAATGTATCTACCACTCCTCCCAGTTTAGTGTCATCTACAAACTTGCTGAGAGTGCAATCCACCCCATCCTCCAGGTCATTAATGAAGATATTGAACTGATTGTTTTCCCTAGCAATCAGTTATAGCCTGGATTTAGGGTTCCTCCCCCTTAACTGAGGGGGTGGTTCTTCAGTTATGGGAGGGCCTAGATCCTCCTATCTCAATACTATAAATAGTATGTATATTAATTTCAGTTCTAATACAGATCCAAGAGGAGACAGAAGAGGAAAGAAGCTTTAGTCTTTTTTTCCAGGGAACACTGAGATAAATCCACACTTAAATAAATGGGAAAGGACAGATTAAGGATCTGGGTAAAATGTGACCTTCTCTATGGTATTAGGTGCTGAAATACCTAAACATGAGTTCAGTATCTCACTTTGTTTCTCAGTGACACTCTTCCTCCTACCCCCATTCATGTTTTATTATATGGGCCTGACCCTACCTTGGCTTCAGGATGTGAGATGTTCCCCTTAGGGGTTGTGAGGGGCCAAGATTCTTGATCCCAACTCAATTATACCCCTGGCCAAAGGGCCACAGCTAATCAACCAACAACATCTCTGTGTTCTGTTACTATACGGAATCAAGGGGAGACTACTACTAGACTTTGTCTAAGAACATCTTAAAAGAGATAATTTGACATACATTGCAGGACCCGGTTCTGCTCCTCTTGAAGTTAGCAAGAGCAGGACCAAGCTCTTGGAACAGTATCTCATAGCATTTCCAGCTTAACTGAAAGCAAACTATATAGGAATCACATGAGAGAGCCGATTCTGGTCTGTTACGCCAGTAGCAATTCTTTATGCCTGATTCTCCTTTCACACTGGCATACAGTTTCTTCTCAAAGTGGAATTGAGAAACAGTCTGGAAAGGTTCCAGTAAGCACCCAGGCTCATCAGTCACTAAATCAAAAGTTTCAGAGTAGCAGCCGTGTTAGTCTGTATCCACAAAAAGAACAGGAGTATTTGTGGCACCTTAGAGACTAACAAATTTACACATATTGAATCTATTTCCCTATGTTAAGTATCCTCACACCTGCTTGTAAACTGTCTAAATGGGCCATCTTGATTATCACTACAAAAGTTTTTTTTCTCCTGCTGATAATACCTCATCTTAATTAATTAGCCTCTTACAGTTTGTAAGGCAACTTCCACCTTCTCTGTATGTATAAATATATCTTCTTACTATATGTTCCATTCTATGCATCTGATGAAGTGGGCTGTAGCCCATGAAAGCTTATGCTCTCATAAATTTGTTAGTCTCTAAGGTGCCACAAGTACTCCTGTTCTTTAAATCAAAAGTGTGCAATTTATAGTTAGGCATTTTCATTCAAAATACCAGGAAATTTTTCAATGTGATTTAAAATCATTACCTGAACATTCTGCTTCAAAGACTAAATAATTAATAGGAACAATGCACTGGTTTGTTGTTATATATTTTTCTTCCCCATGAAGCAGACTGGGAGAGGAAACTCACAAGAGAAGATTGCCCTTCCCCATCCCAACACATGGACCAGGTGCTTTCTGTGAGGAGTTCTCCTATTCCCTGTCAGAGGCCATGTTGTGGAGGATTTTAGTTCAACCACAACTTTTTTGGGGTGGTATTAAAAGTGTTTGTAGTCTTTGCTAGCTCTGTGTGTAGAATGCTAATCAGTGCATTCAACAGCACACCACACTTTGATGCTAACACTTAAAATCCAGCAAAATGGCTCTGGATATTAGTTGGAATGTGATATTCAGGTTGTTTAGGGAAACATTGGTTCCCATTGTTACTATTTTATTCCCATTGTTGACAAGTGTACAATATGTGTGATGTCTAGGTGTTTATATACTGCTAACTATGAATGGCTTGTTAGCATCGCAAACTATCAAGTATAAGTAATTTTTTTATAGCTGGTCAAGTAAACTATTTTGATTAACCTTTCTAACTTTATTTTCTATTTATGGACCATTTGAATGTAATATAACATTTCGGTGGGGATGCATGACTATCTATTGAAAGGATATCACTCTGGAATTATACATTAGCTGATAATCTAGTATCATGTTCTACGTATATCTAAAAGAAAAGGAGTACTTGTAGCACCTTAGAGACTAACCAATTTATTTGAGCATGAGCTTTCGTGAGCTACAGCTCACTTCATCAGATGTGAGCTGTAGCTCACGAAAGCTCATGCTCAAATAAATTGGTTAGTCTCTAAGGTGCTACAAGTACTCCTTTTCTTTTTGCGAATACAGACTAACACGGCTGTTACTCTGAAACCTACATATATCTAGGCACTCGTATGGCCACCTAACGCTGTAGTGTGATATATTGTGTTTATTCGAAGATGATTACAGTATTGCACTCTAATGGTTCATGATGTGAGACTGTCCTCATATCTGAAACAGATGATTTTGGGGTGGGGTGGTAAGGCACTGTATAACCATATTACTTTTCTCTCTCATACAATACAGGGCTGTTTATCATGATAGTAGAGGGTACAGCGACAGTGCAGGGCAGTGATAATTAAGTAAGCAAATGTATTTTCATGTTGGAAATGGTATTGTATTTTGCAATTTTGTATTGCAAGTTGAGCATAGAACTTTCTTGTCTCTTGTAAACAAATTGTAGGACTGCAAATAGACCACGTTCCTTACAGAAGGGATCATAGCAGTGTGAAAACTTAAAAGAAATTATGATGATGTTGTTTTCTCTATTTTTCAGCAGTAAGAAACTAGGCTTAAGTAGAAATACAAATACTTACCAGTAATGGAAGGTAAATTATAGTTCTATGGTTAAAGCGTAGGACTGGTAGACAGGAGAACTACTGGGCCAGATCCTTATCTGGTGGAATCAACATAGCTCCATGGAAGTCAGAGGAGTGATGCTGATTTACACTAGCTGAGGATCAGGGCCTCTATTCTTTAGTTCTGCCACAGGGGATATTTTAAAGCAATGCATAGTTAAACTTATTTGCCTGTCACTTGCTTTCCATAATTTATCTTTTTGTGTTCTCTTAAGTTATGACAATGTGTTTGCATAAGAAAATCCAGTACTGAAAATTTACTATTCTTAAACCTACATCATGCCAAAATGTTGATGCCCATTTCCATGCCCTAGATTGTGATCCTATAACTAGAGCAGGTCTGAATTTCCCTCTCTCCTCCCCATCACCCCACGCTACCCCAAAAAAGAAGTTTGGTAAACTAACCAACAAGCAAAAAAATGCAACAGTTTTCTATGAGGGACCAGATATTTTCCTCAAAAACCAAGCCATTTTCTGACAAAAAATAGGATGGATGTTTTTTACACCAGCTGTGGTTGTAACTAAGGTCCCAGCCCTGCAAGCTACTCCATGAAGATAGACCACTCTACTATGCAGACCCATTGTAGTCAATGGGGGTTCTGTTCTGGAGCTGGGGTCGACCCAAATTTGTCAGGTTAAGGAGTTGTGGTGGGAAAATTATGACTTCTGTGTAGGACCAATCAAAAAACAAAAAACAGTGTCATTGTCAAAAACATTGTCAAAAAACAGTGGGAAGATGAGGGAAATAGACACCAATATATTGAACAATGGTGGTAAGGGGAAAGCACAAAATTACATAAGAGTACAGTATTTAAGATGTTTTGTAACATTAAGGTCCCTTTTAAAAAGGAAATAAGGGATGATCTAAGTTCTACAAATAAGCATCTGGATCCCACTACTCATGTGAATAATCCCATTGACTTCTTATTATCTAAGGTACTTGTATGGCCTGCATTATTATATTATAATGTTTGAGTCTCTCTCAGTCTTCAGTGTATTTATCCTTACAACATCCTTGTGAGGTATGAAAATCCTGTTCTCCACATTTTACAGAAGGGGAACTGAAGTTCAGAGGGAGCAAGTGACAGGTTTTTAAAAGGACGTTTAAAGATGCAGATAAGCACCTAATGGGATTTTCAAAAGGTGCTTTTCAACTAGGCACCTACTGCCTCTTTGATCACCTAAATACTTTTAAAGATCTGGCCCTAAGTAACTTGCCCAAGGTGACACAGAAAGGCTGTGCTAGAACAAGGATATGAACCTAAATATTCCATACCTAAGGCTAGTGCCTTAATCACTGGACCATCCATTTCTATTCCTTGTCTGAATAAAACTGTGTGCCCTGAAATGTTTTCAAAACCAGGTCCTTTATTTGGATATAAGACAGCCTGATTCTTATTTACAATAAGGCACCTTTTTGTTACCAAAGTGGCGAATAAGGATCATGTGTATTTACTCTTAATTATGTTACTATTTATGTAATTTCTGTTATTGTATCATTGTCATCTAGTTGTCATTGGTAATGCAATTATGTTTTATTGTAAAATGATACATTTTGCAGCAAAATATAACTTAATTTGTGTCCAAAAAACCCATAGATACATAATTACAACACATTGAATCTTGCCATTTTTCAGATGAATTCAAGTTCTTTATGAAAAGGCTGCCCATGAACTATTTCCTCAACACGTCTACCATAATGCATTTGTGGACAATGGATTCTAATTTTCAGCGTCGCTATGAGCAACTGGAAAACAGCATGAAACAACTTTTCCTTAAGGCACAGAAAATTGTACACAAGCTCTTTAGCCTAAGTAAGAGGTGCCATAAACAGCCACTCATCAGCTTGCCAAGACAGAGGTAAGAAATGCTGTGAAAACCTGACATACTCAGGACATTGTTTTGAGACTGACGCCTGCTTAAAAGTACAGGTATGCTAATAAGTATAGTATACAACCTTTATAACCATAACAGCAAGACAATGGTATTGAGTCTTCTAACTTTTAATGCTGTTCTGGTCAGACCTTCCCAAAGGGGATGCCAAAATGAGAAAAGTAAAATGCAAACTACAACTGAATATCCTTGTGTATTACTGGAATCAACAAATCAAAGTAACATGCACCCCCCTATCTCCCCCTCCCTCCACACACATCCCCACTGAGGTCAAATTCATCCCTCATTTGATCCATTAACTTCAGCAGAGTTATATCTACTCCTAGGCCTCCTATGTAATGCCTGAGAAAGTCAATGGAAGGACTTTCATTGACTTCAACAGGTATTTGATCAGGCCCTTATACCAGGTCTTACACAGGAGCAACCTATAATCTAGTAGAGAACAAAAAAAATAATGCAATAAAGTTACACCAGTAGAAGATTTGGCCTACTCTACTGAAGGGCAGTAGTGGACCTAAAATGAGCAGATTGTAGTATTATAAAAAATATAGATTAAAGATTAGATTTTGATTTCTCTTGTAGGAAGCCAGGAGGGATGTCCTAAAAATTTAGTATAACTAATGGGCTCTTTCTGTCAGAAAGTATTTCTATAGGGATTTCAATATGCAACGTATAAGAAATCCTAGTGCCACAGTTGGGAAAGATAACTACAAATATTTATTGTAACACTTCCTTGTGGAAAACAAAACAAAACTCAAGCCTCTTTCCTTGTCCTCCTATAGCTGGTTTCTTAACATTTTGCTAAGTTTTTAAAACTATGCCTTAGTTAGGAAAAAAAGGAAAAGGAAAAAAGTTAATTGAAATTGACTGTGCCCCCCCCAGCTCTTGATTGAAGCAAAGAATCAAGGCATTTAAAGTAATTCCATCTCATGATTTTATAGTCTTCAAACCCAAACAGCTTTACATATTTTTCCCGACATTAACAGAAATAATTAATTGACTCCTGAGCTACAGAAGCCACCTTCTCACAATTTATAATCTACAATCAACATAACACAGATAGAACAGAATAGAATGAGACAAAACTAACAATCCTCATACTTTTGTTCCTTGCCACAGTTTTAGCATACATGGGTGGGGGAAGGGGGGGGAAAGGTCCCATTTTCATTTTATTCTTCTCAGTGTCAATTCCTTTCCAATTCTAGATGTTCTTCTTAGATTTTAAGGTCAATTTAATAAAACAAATGTATTATTTCAATTTCTGATTTAATGACGCAGTAGTTAGAATCACACCAAGATCAACTGTACAAGTCAATGGTAAGTTTTTATGGGCTGTTTAGATGTGATTTATTCTGACATTTAAAATTCCTCTAAGTCAATAAGGAAGTGTGCTATGTATCAGTGAAGGGGATTTTTTCAGGCTGTCTAATTTCAGTGGCAGAAGAACTTTTTGGAATAAATAGTGAGAATCAAATAGTAACATAGGAATTGCCAGATTGGCTCAGACCTGATGTCCATCTGGTACATCATTCTGTGGCCATTCGTGACCAGCCCCAAATGCTTCAGAGGAAGGTATAAGAACTATGCAGTAGGCAGGTGTGGGATAATTTACTCCCCCACCCCCAATGCTCCATCTTGGGTTCTACTTCTTGAGATAAAGTGGCAGAATAAAGTTCGTTTTCTGTATACCAGTTGTGTCACCTTCTTTTGGTAAACTATTTCAGGGGAGAAAAACAACTTACCTAGCTATACAGAATTAGAAAAGTTAAGATAAACAAAAGTATGAGTGTGTATCCAGGATCCTGCCTTCCTTGCACACCTAAAACTTCATTTCAGTGAGGTATTTGGGTGTACAAGGACTATTGGCTAGAGTCCAATAATTTAACACACCCACGAAAAATGCTTTTGAGGAGCTGACACTAAACAAGTTGCACTGAAATTATTTATATACTGATAAGTAAATGAATTGCTAGAGGCGTTCTGTGTCATTCCTTTATTTATCATCGCTTTCCTTGGCTACTACTAATTATATAGCAAAGTGTAGATTATTCTAGGAGGGTTGCGGGGAAGGGTTTGTAGGGCTGTGGGGTCTTTCCCCTCCCAGTCATATCATAAGCATCCTTGACAAGATAATTTTCATCTACTGAGGCATACAGTGAAGCTTTATGTTGAGTATGAAAACAATTTAGATTAACTTGTGATTTGTTAGTTGGAATTTAATAAAAAGTTATCACAACTGTATGTAACAGGCACAAGCCTTTGCAACATGGACGTTATCCAAATCAGTCCAAGCATGAAAAGAAAAAGTTACAATTTGAAAGAAAATTTCTTTATTTTCTGTGAAATGATGTCACAGAGTGTTCTGCCTGGGCTTCAGGGCTTGCTATGCCAAATGGGTCAAGGATGGTCACTAAAATGTTCTCCGTTAGCTGCTTTGATACATTAACAATTACATCTGCCTTAAGAATTGTGTGACATCATACACTCATTCACTGTGTTGTCTTTGCTTGACCAGCCTCTATTGCCTGCATTAGTTGGAATTCCACTAGGTGGCCAGCTCTTGCTACAGTTGATATCACAGAAAGATACAGCAATGCTGCAGATCGCAAAATATGTTGTCTCAAAAGATTGGCTGTCGTGGGCAGAGAGTTCTGTATGAGGATAATCATGTGTAAAGAAGGATTGTGAATTGAGAAAGATATTAAAATGGCATATGTATGGAAGCTTTTGACTCTATTATATTTGTCGGACATACAGAGTTACTTCAACTTATTAGGTGTAGCAGCATCTTTCGCAAATAAGGTGAAATGTACAGAGGGGCACTAACTGGAGCACAGCTTTCTAAACTCCGTACATTTTAGGAATCTGGTCCAAACTTTACAGTTCTGGATGATCACTATGGTCCGTAGCTAAACCTGAAAGATGGGATTTATGCAAATTTAACATTGTAGTAATGTGGGCTGTATTTAATGTTCTTATTTTACAAGGGAAAATGGCCCATGTTCAACATGGTCAACTTTTAAATACTCATGATAGGTCACTATAGTTCACACCTCACTGAGGTGAAAGGTCAAATTTTTGTCACTGCTCTTGTTTGGCTGGATTGTCATAGCAACAGCACCTCCTTTTATATTTTAGTAGCTATATTCTGGGCACCTGAAAATCATAGGAACATGAGACCCCCATTCCAGTTGTTACTTGGAATCAATGGGACTACAGTTGGCAAGGTCAGGCACCAAATCCCTCAAAATTAATGGCCCAAACCTGCTCTCACTGACATTGATGGCAGTATTCCTATTAACTTCAATAACAGAAAACAAAGACCCATGTAAAAGAGCATGGTCTGACCGTAGAATGAGCTAAAGGAAAAGGCTATTTTCTCTAAACATGACTATATCCACATCAGGGCTGCTGTTTCCAAAGATCAGAGATTTTGTGCCTAACCTCCATTTAACGTGGGGCGCCGAAGTCACATATATTTTGGAAATACAAGCTAAAGTACTTACTATCCAAACTTTTCCATATCATTCATAGTGATTCCAAGGATAGCATATCATTCATTTGAATGGATATATGTGGTACAGAATATTACAGCATGGACACTAGCTGCACTAGCCTAATTTGTATGCAGTTTAAATAACTTTCTAATGAAAAGCCATCATTGTGTGCCAAATCTAAATAGCATAATTTGTCATTTAATAAATAGATAAAATATTAAAAAGAGAAACAATGTAAATACAGCAGTAAAACATTAGAATAAATTATATCTTTGGCACTTAAGCAAAGTGGAAATCTGTTCCAACAAATTGCAATGCAGAATTGAACTTGAGCAAATATGAATGTTGGCTTAAAAAGTATATGTACAAAATTTGCACACAGAAGCACACTCTTTTGGTAAAACATCAGTATTTGAATTTTTTTTAACTTAGTGTTTAATCTTACTATGTAATTTGTAACAGCTAAACCCATTGGGCTTGATCCTCACCTAGTACAAATTCAATCAGCTTCTCTGAAGTAAGAAGAGCTAGGTCAATTTACACCAGCTGAGGATCTAGCCCCGTGTCATGTTATGGACAAAACTCTGGCCCCTTATCTCAGATGGAGCTTTTAATTTGTCACGTCATTCACTGCAACTTGAAAGCCATATGTGAAAAACAAGGAAACCAGTTTACTGTTCTTTTTGAAAGACGTTACAAATAAATCAGGTTGCTGATCTACTGTGTACTCTTAGCCATATATTTGAAGACCCTGCCCAAGACATATCATCTACATACAGGATTTCCTTAACCTGGGGGGGGAAAGCACAGTTATGTCCATAAGACACAGCTCAGTGTTGGGGCTAGTGAACACATGTCTCAAAGCATGATGAGTCCCAGGAAGAATTCTGCCTTTGGGATACAGAATTCTTCCTGGAGCTCTCCAGCATACAGCGGGACTTATGCCCACTGCAGTTTAATCTTCCCCAGAGTGCACCTAAATGTTCTACAGACTGCTGTGTAAGGAGGAAGAGCCATGCAGCTGCCTCCTTACCATCTCACTCTGCTCTATTTTGGATGTTTATACCCCAGTATTCTCACAGGAGGAGCAGAGTTTGAGTGCCAGGGAACACAAGGACACCAGTTAAGAACATAAGAACAGCCATACTGGGTCAGACCAAAGGTCCATCTAGCCCAGTATTCTGTCTTCTGAAAGTGACCAGTGCCAGGTGCCCCAGAGGGAATGAACAGAAGCTGATTTAAATGATAGGTTACATACCATAGTTAGTAGTTCTGCAATTTCACATTTGAGTTCCTTCAGAACTCTTGGGTAAATATCAACTGGTCCTGGTAACTTGTTACTGTTTAGCTTACCAATTTGTTCCAAAACCTCCTCAACTGACACCTCAATCTGGGACAGTTCCTCAGATTTGTCACCTAAAAAGAATGGCTCAGGTTTGGGAATCTCCCTCACATCCTCAGCATTAAGAC